GCCCCCGCGGCGGCTCTGGGCTGCCGCTCCATGACTGACTGACACGGAGCGGGCCGCGGGCTGGGCCGCTCGGGCCTCCAACGCGCAGCCGTCTCCACCAATGGGCGAGGCGCCTCGGCGCTCGGCTGGCAATGCCTGGCGTGCGTGCCGCCCCGCCCCGCCGCGCCGCTAGCGTCGGGCGGAAGGAGCGCGGGGGCCAGTCCCACGTGGTGGGGCTGCCCGGGAGCTCGGACCTGCTGCCCTCGGCCAGCATCCACACCGTCCCTATTCCGGTCTGGCCTGGCAGTGAGCTCCTTAATCTGGGGGCTGCCCTGTGTCTCCTCCCGCTGTCGCCGCCCGTTGCCCCTAAACGGGGCGGGGCCTGCGGTGAGCTCGCTACCTGAGGACTGCCGGCAGGTGAGTCTCCACTGGTTTGGTCAAGACTCCGCCCCTCCCCTGGACCCCACCTAGAGTCGGCCCCGAGGTGAGTTCTTACGCTGGGACTGTCGTTCTTCCCTGCCGCTGCCCCTGCATGGGGCGGACCTCGAGGTGAGCGCCCTCCGCGGGGTGGTCCTCAGCTCCGCGCCGCCGTCCCTGCTCGGAGGTGAGCGCTACCTGGGACCACCCTCAGCCCCCGGGCCCCCGACTCTTCCGCTGTCATCCAGCGCTGTTCCGGAGCCGTATAGGCCAGCTCTGTGAGCAGTCTCTCACTTCGCCCAGAATCGCTCTCTCTGACTTTAGTTACTTGACTTCATGTTTCTCCACAAGATGCTGTGTGGCGTTAGACGATTCTGCGTTAATATTAGCAGGAACGGTGGACTCTTCACACCCTCTTGCCTTTAAGACCGCTGGAGGGCTCCCAGAGCGGAATTTGGTAGAGCCCAGGCGTCTTTGTAACCAGTTCTGCAGACACTTGTTAAGTACTTTGTAGCTGTCGCGGTGACTGTAATCTTTTGAACTTAGAAGTTGAATAAGAAGTTGCTGAACGGGCGAAGAGCATGTTGACAAATAGAAAACGCTGACAGCACCTCACTGGTCACTGTAACAGAGCGGAGAGGATACTTCACCTACTGTCCTTCACCTAGTGTTCACTCATTCTTGTGTAGTTAGCTGTTGAGAGAAAGCTCTGAAGATAGTTGTGTTGGATTTGGAGGCTCTCTAGATTTTAAAAATAGGCTGAGCCAGTCCTAAATCTAGGAAACTCCACTTAATATTAGTAGGATGGGGTTGTGAATTTCCCTTGTCTAATCTTTATTGGGGATAATTTTATTTCGATATTAGCTATCATGAAAATTTTTCTTTTTTGAGGAACTGACTTATGGAATGATTTAGAGAAGTTTCCCCTTATTACTCTGACTTTAAGAAAACTTAAAGCTACATTATTACATTCTCTTTTTATGATTTTAATTGTTTAAATATACTTTGTAGACTTTTTGGAAACTACGTTTAAACACTAGTCAATAAAATTATGGTAGGAACTTACTATTGTGGATGAAATAACAATATTTCTATTGGAACTGAGTTTATACAATATTACTTTTATTTTACCTGGAGAAATATTACTTTCTCCAAATAGTATTTGTACCAACCACATAGTGGTATTGGTTTTTGTACATAATCCTTAGAATATTTCAGATTTGTGCAAACGCTTTACTTTTTCAGTCAATTTCATCTGTGAATACATCACAAGTAATGTGGGCACTTTGGGCTTTGTCCATTTGAATTCTTGCACCCTTAACCCTGGGGAAGTGAGGTTTTTGTTCATAGCAGGATTCCTTGCACACAGTATCTTCTGTCTGATTTTGTCTGAATTGTTCCCAGAAAATCCATGGGTTCAAACATCTTGTTTATAGGTTTATGTCCAATAATTCTCTCGATATAGTTAATTTATTGGAAAAACTTTAGAAGGTAAATGTATGTATATATACATACATACCAGCTGTATAGACATTGAGATATACAATGTTGATTTTCTGAGTTTGAACATAGTATTTTATTGTTTTAAGTTGCAGATAAATTGTTGCCATGGCTGCTGTTTATTCTGGCATTTCTGTTAAGCTTAGAAGCAAGACAACTTCCTGGGAAGATAAACTAAAATTAGCTCACTTTGCTTGGATTTCCCACCAGTGCTTCCTTCCAAATAAAGAACAGGTAAGTTTAATGTGAATCTTATTCCAGCCTAAAAGGAAGCAAACATCACTGAAAGTTACAAGGAATATCAGTGGGAAAAAGTAATATAAGGTATCTCAATTAGTAAAGTTTTTTCTGATAGAAAGCCTCAGTTAATATTTCTTTTAAGTTTGAAAGCGGCTTATTTTTCAAATAAATATATATATCAGGGAATAAATTGGGAATTAGTTGACAGTCTGTTGGTAGCTCCATTTGTTTGTAGCTCCAAAGTGATGCTCCATCAGTAATTGCTTATTGGTGCTTTGGTAAACTTCTTTGGAATTTGATAATTGAAAGTTGGAAAGTAGGGAAGCTTTAGTATTTGTCGTAATTCATTTAAGAAGTAGATTAGGAACCAAGAAAGATACCGTTTTTTGGTTAACGTTGCTCAAGATTATTTGGCTATTCCAGTAAAGACAATAGGAAGATGAACTCATAGAAGTGGGTCAACATGCACCTATATGCCAGTATTTGAGAGACAGTACATAATGTGTCAAAGACGGGTTACATCTGTTAAATGATGGTGCAGTACAGTATTACAAACACTCAGATCTGGTGGTTTCTATACCTGGTTGCACCCGAGCAGCTTGGCAGCTCAAGAGTTACCAGGCAAGTTCTAGACAGGGTGTGATAAAAGGGAGAGTTATGGTAAGAAGTTGATCAAGGTCTTTGCTATCCTTCCCCTGCAAGAGTGTTTTCCTTTTCACCTGTGTCACTATTCAGAAGTTATTGACAGTTTTGGTCTCGTGGAGCCAGAACTTGTTACCTTTCCTCATGTTTCTGAATAAGGAAACATCACAGTCATGGGAACTATCTAGTCAGTCCTCTTCATAAACCTTGGTGTGTTATTTCACAAATGACTGTGTCTGTCTTCTGGGGAGCATTAAGTAGATTGAGGTGAAGCACCTCTCAGGGGAGCTGCTGCCATAGCAAGTCGGGACCCACATCATTGTCTTTTTACTCTCTTACTTTTGTGTTGATTCATTTTATGGCCATTCTGAACATCTGTGCTTCAGACTTTTAAAACTTAGTATAATTTCTGAGAAGTTAGGATTTAGAAGAAGCTTAGAGTTTTTCTTGACCCCAAATGAAAACAAAACTAGTCTTTTTCTCTTTTTGTTGATTACTTTATGAGCATTTTAATATATGAAAACATTTATGTAAGATTAATTTTAACGGAGAATTTTTTTTTCCTTCTGGAGATTGAATTTGATTATATCTGGAATGCCTCGATACAGCATTTTTATTTTTTGATGAAAAAATTTATTTTCAGAGTATATGTCTTCCAAATTCAGGTCTTACTTGATTGGGCAAGACAGTCTTTGGTCGCCTTTTATAAGAAAAAACTTGAACTGAAGGAAGACATTGTTGAAAGGCTTTGGGCATACATAGATAACATTCTACACAGCAGAAAATTGCAGAATCTCTTCAAGAATGGAAAGACAATTGACCTTCAGATTTCCCTAGTCAAGGTAATTAATTGTGCTGTCCTGTATGTGTTGCATATATCTCTGTTGATTTCCTGTTAATGCTGGAGGCTTATTTGTTTCAGATGCACAGTGTCACACTAGGGGAGTGAGTAGAAGGGAATATTATTATTAAACTTAACCCCTTTGATAGTTGTTGAATGCATACTATATGCTCTGAACTGTGCTAAGCACTTTGGTATTTATAATTTAAGAAATACTTAGGACTCTTTCATGAGCTGGCTATTGATTATCTTTTAAATTGGAAAAGATATCCAGGAATGATAATACTTTGTGATTGTTCAGTTTTTCAGCTTTCTGTTGGCTTCATGGGAGAGTAAAGGCCAAAATTTGCCTATGCAAATTTTAGATTTCTAGATTTCCCCTAGATTTTTGACTCAAAGTGGTTTTAAAGTCTCAGACCAGAATTATGAAATTCATTGTCAAAGCAGTCTTCTGAAATATTATGAGACTTGTCAGTGACAATAGAAATCACTAGAAATGAGCTTGTATTGTGCCCGGCTCCCAAACATATCTGGGATCTGAACCAGATCTACCAGATAACAAAGTCTGTTTTTACGGCCATGCCATCTACCCCCACACGTACACAGGCAGAAAGTCAGTAGAGGTCAGTTACAAGATTTAAACAGTGGAACTGCTTGACGATTCATAGGCTTTAATGGTTCCTGAAATTCTATTCTATGTTATGTGTCACTTTAGAAGTACTAGACCAGTGGTCCCTGAAGTGGGTTATTCAGAATGATTCTTTGCGAGTGTGGAAAGAAGAACTTATAATATCCTATATACATTTTTTAAAAAAGTCATTTTAATTTTTACGTACTCTTTATAATCATATAACAATGCCTTAGTACTTATATACAATTTGAGAAGAAATTATCCTTATTGGGTATAAACATGAACAAAGATCTTGTAGGTGAGTTGTCTAGGCAGAATGTAGAGAATACTGAATAGTCCACTGATACTTAAGTGTCCACAGCCAGCAGTTAATTTGGGTGAAAATAACCACACCCAGATCATTGGAGTACTGACTATCATAGCACTTAGGAGAAACCTCATTTTTAGAGGCTGTGAGACTGAGAGCAAGTTGCTTAGCCTGTAAGTGAATTTGGGAATCTGCCCAACCCTCAGAATTTTTGGTGTTAGTGAATTTCATAATTTTATAACTAGTAAGTTGTGCAGAAACTGGCAGCATTTCCTTTCCCCTCTGAGTGATTTTTTGCTTTGACTTTTTTTTTTAAAAGATTTATTTATTTATACAGAACTGGGGTACAGGCCAGAGATATGGAGGGTGAGAGGATTCACCAGGAACAGAGTGGGGTGCAGAACAGGCAGATCGATGAAGTACACTGCTGAGGGGAGCAGCGGGCGGGTCAGGAGAGGTCTGCCGCACCATGTGGATCTCCTCCGGGGCAGGCGGGAATCGAACTCATGCGGAAGGGGCTTAAGCTTCTCAGTGCAGTGCTTTAACCTGCTGCGCCACCAGGGAGGGCCTGCTTTGACTTTTAAATAGAAACACTATAATTGACTGTAATAATACAATTTGTACCCAAGATCACTGTAACATCTAAGCTGAATTTCAAGTTTCAGATCTTGGAAAAGTGATCTTTGATGTTTAATTTTTACAAATTATAGCCCTTTAAAAAAGGATAGCAAATTTATAAGGACACTGATCCCTTTTTTGAACTTGTATTGGTAGGAGCTAGAGGTGTTAAATAATGAAAACAGGTGCTTTGTCTTTCTTTGGTGAGCTAAGCAAATGTCCAGGCCATTTAGATGTGGTATATGGGCATTTTTTTTCTCATCAAGATGAGAACAAGAAATTGATTCTGTTATGTTGTTTTGTGTGTATGTGTAAGTTTAGGGTCATTAATGAGTTTTCTTTTTTCACGCGCAGACCATCAATGAGAGAATAACTGAGTTTTCTCTTTCGGGATCCCAAAGAAACATCTGTGCTGTGCTGAGCTGCTGCCAGGGCATCCTCTCAGTGCCCGCCCTCGCTGTCATCTACACAGCTAAACAGGAGCTGATTGTGGCCTTGCTGAGCCACCTGTGCAGGCTGGCTTGTGGGCAGCTAGAAGGCACCGTGGTAGCCCAGTTATTCGAGGTCATTCACCTGGCCCTTGGCCATTACCTCTTGATCCAGAAGCAGCAGGTCAACCCACGGCGAGCCTTTGGGGAGGTGACTGGACACCTGCTGCAGCCCTGCCTAGTTCTGAGGCACTTACTTTCAGGGGGCACATGGACACAGGCCAGTCATGGTCAGCTGCGACCAACATTGAGCAGGGATGTTAGAAGTCAGCTTGAGGCCATGCTTCGAGGTGGAATTTTTCAGCCCGAGCTGCTCTCATCCTACAAAGAGGAGCTCCTGGACCATCATCAAGGTGACACAAAGCTGGGGGCCATGAAGAATCTGCTAGCACCTTTGGATACTGTGATCGTCAGACTGGTAGATACCAGTTACTGCGAACCATCTCTTCATGCTGCTGTTGTAGCCAGTTCAGTGGCTTTGCTATATAAACTCTTTCTAGATTCTTATTTTAAGGATGGCAACCAGTTTCTCTGCTTCCAGGTGCTCCCCAGGTTGTTTGGCTGCTTGAGGATTTCACATTTGCAGGAAGAGCAGGTAAAAACCCTAACTACATCAGATTGGACCACAGAACTCCTGGTTGTGGAACAGTTGCTGAACTTGGTGACCACGCACAATATCTACAACATTGCAGAGGACAGGATCCGACACGGGGAGGCTCAGTTCCATTTTTACCGCCGTTTGGCTGAGCTGCTCATAAACCACTCACAGGCATCCGTGCCGGCCTGGTTCCGCTGCCTCAAAGTTTTGATGTCTCTGAATCACTTGATTTTAGAGCCAGATCTGGATGACCTGCTGGCTTCAGCGTGGATCGATGCAGAAGTAACAGAATTTCGAATCAAAAAGGCCCAGGAGATGCTTATTCACACTCTCTTCCAGACATATGCCAAACTCCGACAAGTGTCCCGATTGTTTGAGAAAGTTTTGGGGGTGATCTGTCTTCCAGCTGCTGAGGTGCTGAGGCAGCCAGTGCTGTCCTCGGGCCCCTCCACAGTACTCTCTGAGTGCCTCCTGGAGCTGCCTCTGAATCAGATCTTGGACACTTGGTGCCTGCTGCTGGATCAGTTCCAGTCTTTGGTCCTGCCGTCTCTGGAGACAGATGTGGATATGGCCCTAAAGTCGTTAACCCTGAGCTCCCTCCTACACTGCATCATGTTCAATATGAGGAGCCTGGACAGCAGCACGCCTCTGCCTGTTATCAGACGAATGCAGCGCACCATGGAGAGGATGCTCCGAGAGCTTGTAAAGCCCCTCCTGGGCCTTCTAGACCCGCAGGGCCCAGAGCCTGAGTTGTGGCTCCAGAAGGTCAGTGACTCTGCACTGCTGCTCGCTTATACGTGGGCCCAGGTTGACACCATGCTCAGTTTAAACTGCAGCCAGTATCACTCTGTGGCTGAGGCCCTTCCAGGTGTTGATTTGGAGATCTCCGAACTCCCTTCATTGCTCCCAGGTGTAGAAACACACCTTTGGGAGAAGATAGAAACGTTGACAGCTCAATTTGATTCTCTCGGCAAGTATTGCTTAGAACAACTCTATCTGCAGAAAATGAAGCGGACTTTAATGCATGCTAGTTTCCAGTCTGAAGGAGCCCTCCGCGCTTTGAGGTATGATGCTTCCTACATCCTCGGTGCTGGCAGAGAGAGCTTGAGTTGTAGGGCAGCAGCTTCCTGGGATGGCCAGGTCGGGACAGTGAGTACACTCACATACCCTGTGGCACACTGGCACTTGATTGTGTCAAATCTTACAATTTTGTTGTCCTATCTTTGTCCAGATGATATGAGCTACTTGGCGAGTGTCCTGCTAAGCACTCTACCTACAAGCAAAGCCCAGGAAGGCTCAGCTGATGAGGAGCAACATATCACAATTAAAAAAATATCCCAGGCCGTTTTTCACAGCCCTCTCTTTCCAGAAATGCAGTCCCTTCACTCTGCTTTCTTAATGTGCCTGTCTGCAAGGTGTACTAGCATTCTGTGTTCTGGCGCCCAGAGGGGCCCACGTCGCCTCCACCAGCAGCTGCCCTGGCTTTTTGAAAAGGACCATGTGGTTGTGACTCACTGGGAAAACAGATTTGCAAAAGTTGGACCTGAAGGTGTAGAGACAAGGGGAGAAATTGCCCAGAATTTACTATCCTTGATCAAGAGTGACTTCCCCATTCAGCTGGAGGGAGAAAAGTTAGAAAGCATCCTGGAGCTTTTGGAAGTTACTTCTGCTCTACAACTGGACAGTCTCTCGACTCCCTACCACCTCCATTATTTTCTTCTGTTGCTCTCCATGGCCATTACGGAGTTCGGAGACTCTTGCTCGTCCTCACTCATCCTGAAGTTTTTGATGACTTGCTACCAGCTTCTGGGCTACCTACAAAGGGGGAAAAGTGCCCGCTCAGTGCTCAAGATTATGTATGCTAGTGATATTTTTGAGATTGTACTGAGCTCGTTGTTCAAAGCCAGTAGTAGATTTCTCATTGCTGTGGAGGACCCCTTTTGGTTGGAGTTCCTCCACATGGTAGGAACATTTTTAGAACAACTGATGCGGATGATTGTCCAGATAAAGTTGAACTTGGTGCTCAATTTTGGGAAAATCACTGCTTTCCTCTCACACTGCAAACTGTACGCTGAAGCAATTTCAGGGAAACAGTTGGAACATCAGAATCTTCCGGGCAGGCAGCTCCTTCTGCTGTCTTTAACCAAGTTGTGCCAAGTCCTGGGGCCTTTTGTCAGAGAGCCGAAGCAGCAGCACGAGGTCCCGGAAGGGCTGCCGGAACTGTTGCAGCAGGCCCTTCTCCACACGGGAGCCCTGCTGGAGGTCTGCTCCGAGGGTGGGCCACAGCTACGGCGCCTTCCCGCCACCTCCATCCCCTCGGTTGTCACTCTCTTAGAAGCACATGTGGGCCCTGACTCCAGGCCCAGAGGGCTGGAGCTTTCCCCAAAGTCTGACAGCACGCTGCTCTCCCAGACCGCCCTCTACCAGGCCGTCTACTCCCAAATGCTGTCAGAGTTGCCGCATCTGGCGGGAAACATTGCTTCTTTCCAGGCAGCTGTGCGCTTTTTGACTCTCTTCTTTTTGGCTCCAGAACTTCATCCCAAGGAGGATTCTGTTTTTACCTCCATGTTTCATTCTGTGAGAAAAGTTCTCACGGGTAAGATATTGTCTCTTGAGCTGATTTTGTACTGTATAGCTTTTGGTAGTAGCAAAGTGCCTGGCAAGGTGGGCCCTGTTTCCCCTTTTGGGAAAGGTACAGCTCAGTGAGCAGTGAGGACCCCTCCCTCCCGGGTGACTTCAGGTGTTCACTCCCAGTGCTTCGTCCTTTCATAGGCTTGCAGATGTGTTTTAGCACCTTGGGTTCTTAGACATCTCGGGGATTATCCTGGATTATACTATTCTCTTACAGCCTGGCCTTGGAAGGTCAACATAGATCATGTCCTTCTCAATAGTTGACATTTCTGGATTGGCTTGTCAGTGCCATTGGTTGACTTAAAGATATAATATCGGTCAACTTTTAAATGCAGAAGACTTAATTTCTAGGGAACCTCATACAGTTCTTTGAGGACAGACATCAATCCCCAGATATGGTGTGGTACTCAGTTATCGCTGGGGCCTTGGTGCTAATTGGGCAGAAGCTCAGCCTGCTGTCATTACAGTGTTTAGTTGGATGTCATTCTTCCAGGCCAGCTAATCAGCACCACGAGCCAGGCCGGCCTCTGCACAAGGGTTGGGTTGCTGCTGTTCCCAGGGCAGAGGGTGATGGACCAGGTTTCACTCCTGACTGGCAAGATGGCTCATGTCCCATAGCACCATCAACACATTCTCTTTTTGTTTTGATTGTTGTTGAGGTGTTAGGCTTAGTTAGGGAGCTATTGGAGGTGAGGATGGGGATCCATCAGCCAGAGCTAACTCTTAGAACACATGGCTGTCTGTGCCCTGTGGAGGAGCTGTGACAGGCGAGATGGGTCCATGGCACACTCGGATAGGAGCATGCTCTCTGAGGTAAAGCTGCCCGGGCTGCTGGGCCAGTGCCAGGGCTGAAGTGCGGCTGAGTGACTGCTCTTGTGTCCTTTCAGCAGCCTTTCTGTCACTGCCTTGATTGGACTGACGGAAAGGCTTTGGTGTCACATGTTCTGGTTTATTCTGGCAGCAGCTCTTTTAGGAATGCTGTTCACCTTCTCAGTGGGGGCTAAAATTTAGTCTTTTATTAATACTAGTTACAATGTTGAAATAAATAGCCTATGAAGTGGCAGCTGGTGGTCTGAAGCAGGTCTCTGTGACACCGTCCATCCCTCTTAAATTTTTTTTTTCTCTTTATGTAACATTGAGTTACAGCAAAACATGATTTAGGGGTATAGGTTCACACCTCCTCAGTTACATGTCACATTCCACAGCCCCCACCAAGGCACCCATAATCTTTTACCTTGACAGTCGGGCCCCTCCCTCTACTTCCACCATCCTGCCTTTCCTTCAGGGAGCCTTGTTTCTGCAGTGACATTTCTAGGGACTTTGGGGGGGCTTAGCTTTGCCAGTTCTTTTGTTATTTTTTTCCTCTATATTCCACATGAGTTAAATCACCCAGTATTTGTTTCTTCCTCTTATTTCACTTAGCATTGTCTCCTTCCATTGCATCCATGTTGTTACGGAGAGTAACAGCACCCTTTTTTTACAGCCCAGGGGTATTCGTGTGTGTGTGTGTGTGTGTGTGTGTGTGTGTGTGTGTAGGTAGACACAGTCCTTTCTGTTGTATGCCAGCCACAGGAGTTGGTGCCCTGTGCCTTTTCACTGTTGAGGGAGGTGAGGTCATGAGTCAGGGTCTCACTTGTGGGAAACTTGAGCCTGGATCTTTAGTTCTCAGAGTCTTTGAGTCTGTACCCCTGATGTTGAGCACAGGCGCTCTGGCAATGTGGGGTGGACCAGGTTAAGCTGGACCAGGTTAAGCGCCCCAACTTAGAGCTTTACTATGGAATGTTGGGCCAGACAACCCTGGGAATGTTGAAAGATTCCTGCATTTAGTGGGAACACCAGGAGGATTGCAACAGGCAGTCCCCAAAAGTCTGGGTAACTTACTCTCCTAAATGTTACCTTTGTTTCAGAGTACCACCACCTCTTTGTCCCTACTGATTTTATAAAAGAAAACCAGGAAAGTAGGAAAAATATAAAGAAAATCTCCCTTGATCCAGAGTTAAGCACTGCTAAACGACATTGCCTTGTCAGACTCTGTACTGGGTGTGTGCGTGTGTGTGTGTATGTGTGTGAGAGAAAGTGATGCTGTGACTGTGATGTGCCCTGCATGCCCCCAAGTGATGGATTTTAATGGCTGTCCACTATTTCATCACTGGCTACCCAGTTTATTTCTCCTGTCCCTTGACTATCACATCTGAACGGCTTTGGTTTCTTTTCTGCACAGATCCTGCAATTCCAGCTCACGTAATTCAAGATCTTGAACCTCATTTGGGAGCCTTGTTCGCCCAGATGCTAGAGGGTGGGTCCACCGAGGACTTTCGGATGGTGATGCAGTGCGTTTTGCAAGGGCTAGACGTCAGGAACGCGTGGAAGGCAGATGAGCAGGTGGGTGGCCCCTTCCCCCCTGCGTGGCAGGTGTAAGTGGGAGAAGTTATCTGAGACGGGTTATCACCCCTCGCACTAAACACACAGAATCAAATGGATAGAGCCAGTAGGCAAAGAGGGGGGTTACAGAAGGAGCTCTGGCCTCTGGAGAGGCCTGGGACCTCAGTGACAGGAGAATTTCTCAAATTACGACTGTGTGTTCTTAGTATACGAAACATTAAGTGTTACATAATTTTAATATTGACACACAGGAATGCTAAATTCTGTTCAAACCTTGCTTAAGACCTCTCCTGTCATACATTTTGAAAAATCTGACTCGATTTGGTCATACCGCCCAGACACCATTTGATAATCACTCAATTTTGCCAGCTGCCCTTCTGGCCTTGGCACCTAGATCATTTGCTAGTTGCTAGTGAAACCCTGCACTTGCATTGGGCCGCCTGTTTTAGAGACTATGTTGTGGAGCTCACCAGCTGGAGCTTGTGCCTAGACAGCTTTGTGCACGGGCCGGCAGACGTTGCCCACGTGCACAGGAGGAAAGAGGGGCCAAGGTTACAGATCCAGTTCTTAGTGTTCTCCTGTCTCATAATTGACTTCTTGACTGCTGGTGACAAGCAGCCCAGAGGATGGGGCTTGATTTGGGAGGGAGAGGGCTTGATTTGAGAGCTGGAGAGGGGTACTAATGTGGGGAGCCGGCAGGGGTACTCAACATCTCCCTCATGTGAGCAAGAGGCCTGCCTGACTGGAGCTCAGTTGCTCCACGGCAGCATCCTTGCCGCCTGGGGCACTGGTCCATTTCTGGCAGTTTTCACCGTGGGCACCTCTCGCCGATTGGTTCAGGGCTTGAGAGGGCTTCTTCGTTTCCTTTCAGGAAACCATGGGAAGTCCAGCACTTTCATTTAAACTGGGCAGATAATCTGAAAAGATTCAGAGCATTCTAGGATGGAGAGGATTTGGGTAGAGCTGGGGGCAGCATGGAAACAGGGAGGAGGGTGCTGGGCTGCAGTGAGCAGCAGTCATAGGCATGCGAGCAGTTAGACTGGCAAGGGGTGCCAGCTGCAGGCCCCTGGTTCCTGCAGACAGGAGGGGTGGTAGCTGAGCTGCAGGTGGCAGTGGGAGGGGAGGAAGCGGACATAGGCTATACAGGTCAGGGAGTGAGAGCAGGAGGGCAGGAGCAAAGGGCCAAAACCAGAGTTGGTGGCTTGTGGGTCTGCAGAGTTAGAAGAGGCGGCGGCTGGCATGAGTGGCGGAGATGCCCAGCGTGGTCACCCCTTACTGATGAGGCTGCTCAGTGCCGTTATTCTCTTCCCACAGCTTGAAAATATCACCTGTGCGCCTAGTGCCACCCTTGCTTGCTGTACTTTGTCCATGTTTCCTTCTGCCTCCTTTTCCATCTTTCCATCAGCATATGTGTTCTCGTACAGGCTGGCCGCAGCCCATCTCTTCTTCGGCACTGACCTGAGAGAGGCTCTGTCTGAGCAGCTCCCTGTTCCTGTCTGTGTCTCCTTTCACTTCTCTGTCTGTCACTTGCATGTTGATAACCACTGAAGAGGCCCTTCTGTTGTCCCCTTTCTGCTCATCTTACTTATTCCCTCACTGCATGGTCAGAACTTAACCCAAACCAGGCTCCGCCCTTGCCTCTGACATGAGGTTTCTCACAGACCCGTCTTTTTCAGCATCCCGGCTGGACTTCTTTCAAGGTGGATTGCTTAAAAGAGAACTGGCTATTTCTGTTGCTAATTTTTCCCCCTTTTCCCCTAGACCATTTTGTCAGCCATTACATTGGTCAAGTTGCTTCTGAACTGTCTGTCCAGTGGCAAGAAAGCAAGTATGTTCTGGCGGGCATGCCCCCAGGTCATCACGGCTCTAACTGTGAGTACCCAAGAGTTGTGTACTTCTCATCACCTCTCTCCCTACAGACACAGGGCAGGTCGTAACTTCTGCCATGCCCAGGTTTTATGCTGAGCGCCGCTCTCGGGTTGTGTCCTGAAGAAGACTGAGCAGAGTGCTCTCGTCAGTGTCTCGGTCTGTGCTTTTATTGTTTGCTTGTGCTGGTGTCATCAGTAGCAGATGTGCTGGCGAAGGCAGGAATGGCAGTGGGAGCGCACTGGGAGCGCAAGAAGCCCTCGGCAGGTGGGAAGGGAAGGGACGTGGAGACAGCTCTGCAGAGGAGATGAGAAGGACTTTGAGGCTGGCTTTGTCCCCACAGCCTCTTGTGGTCATTGTAGTGTGTTAGTGATTCATTTGTAGGGGTGTGTGTGCTTAAAATCTGTGAATCTGTGAGAAAAATGTATATTAAAGAACAGGGTAGCAACGTTGCGGAAGAGCACTGTTACAGCCCTTTCTAAATGTTTAATCTGACATCTGGTAAATATATACCGGTTTCACTAAAACAAAAGCTAAGTTCAAATTGGAACTGTTGCTAGAGTCAGTTATCTGTGTGCTTTGCTTGAACTGAAAGAGCAGTGGCTGCCTTAGCATCATTAGCTGTAATCCTAGCTAGTGTTTCCCACCCGAGAGAATTGCTCTGGATCAGCATATTCTCAGGGCAAAGGGGATGAAGAAACAATACTCTTAATATTCTCTCCTGTTCTTTTGCCTATTGCTTTGTTTTCTTCCCTGGGAATCCACTTTGGATGAGTCCTCTTTACCTAGCGTGTGTAGTGGACGTCGGGAGGAGAGGTTGGGCCAGAGAGGAGGAAGAGGGGCCTCTGTGGTGCACGGCCAGTGTTGGCAGTGAGCGCAGTTGGTTTGTGCTGACCTGAAGCCTAGTCTGGAAACCACTGTGTTAAATCTAAGGGGCATAACATGAAGTGAGGGTAGCAGAATACCCAGAAAAATGGAATTGTGAGAGGCCCAAAAGGCCTCACCGGAGGTGCTGTTTATATGCGGCAGTGAGAGGGCACCACACGTGAGCTCTCCTGAGGTACATAGGGAGGTCTTTGAGCTACCTTCTGCCTTTCCTTATTCTCTAGAATTTTATTTGCTTTTAGAGCTGATTTTTAAGAAGTGTAACAAATGAGTTTTAATTATATTCCTGTAGAACTAATGATTTATTGAGGGAAAATATTGTTGTTTGCAGTAAAGTTTTTTTTTTTGTTCTGAGAAATTGGATGAGTGAAATAATCTCTTAATGGTAGATTAATCCAACCAAAAGTGTGGACAGAACCAGGAAGCCCATAGTAGGTCGTCATTGAAGATTAAATCCCTGGCCTTCAGGTCTTTTCCACCTGCCCCCTGACCACTCCGATTCATCTTGGAGTCTTGACAGTCTTGTCACTTCAGTTTTTAACCTCTGCTTCAATGTTTGTATTTTGGGGGAGTCACCTTTGTTTCCTTGCCTTTATTCCTTCTTGTCCTATAGCTGCAAACCCGAGAGGCTTGTCAGGAGCAGCCTGTGCCCCTCACTGTGGTTGGGCCTATTTTGGATGTCCTGGCTGTGCTGCTGAGGCAGGGGGAGGACACCATCAGCAACCCACACCACGTCAGCCTGGCCTTCAGCATCCTGCTGACAGTTCCTCTGGACCACTGGAAGCTGCCTGAGTATGGGACCATTTTCCAGAAGGTGCACAACGTGCTCTTTTCAGTCTTACAATGTCACCCAAAGGTAAGGAGGAGGAACAGGGCACCAGACAGCCTTCTTCTTTGTCATCCTTCAATGAAGTGATAAACTGTTGCAGGGTAATAAATAAAATGACCTGCTAGCTGCTCCACTGATTTCTAGGGCCAAAGTGGTTTTTCGGTCACAGGCAGACTTAATCCTCATGTAGAACTCTGAGTGAGCTCTCCTTTGTTTTAGCTGATGTTTTGAATAGTGTTTGTATGCTTGTTTAAAAGGATGCTCAGTACAAATTATTCTTTTTTTTTAAGCCGTCCACATTTTTTAAAAAGATTTATTTTATTTATGCCTACAAGAACTGGGGTGTGGGCCAGAGATACTGGAGGTGAAAGGATTCACCAGATACAGAGTAGGGAGCAGAACAGGCAGATCTACTGAAATACACTGCTGAAGGGAGCAGCGGGGGAGACAGGAGAGATCTGCTGCACCATGTGGGTCAATTCCCTACCAGGGGATCAAACTCATGGTGCAGTAGCTGGAGATAGCTTAAAAGCACTGAGACTTAACCCCCTTAACTGCCTCTCACCTGCTTAGATCTTTCTTGGATTTATAATTCAAATGGGTACAGTAGGTGAAGCATTGGAGTTCTAGTTTCATAAATGCTGCATTTAAAATTAAACTGAGGCCAGAAATAAATGTCCCACGGAAAAGACCCCAGTTCAGATGGCACATAAGGAATATTTATTCTGTCTCATTTTACCCCAGCAGCAAATCTATGAGATAGGTGGTAATCCCGTTTTGTTGATACAGAAACTGAGGTTTAGAGCTGTGTCACCCAGCTGAGTCTAAATCTTAAAAGTCAAGACTGTTGGCTTTTTCAGCTAGCTAGCTTTTCACATGCCACTGCTACAGATATAATGTCTGGGAACTTGCAAACAACATAGATACACATTTACACATTTAAGTATTTGTAAGTGTTTTATGTTATAAGGTTAGAGACTGCCAACAACGCAGTTTAAATTTTTTTTCCTCTGGCCAACTAAGGCCATCATGAATTTGGACTCACTCCAATTAACAACTGCCTTTGCCCCTACCTATTGGCATCTCAGTTATCAAATCTCTCAGCTGATGGTGAAATTTTTATGTGGCCATACCCTATAGAGGCAAAACAAATCAATTACAAACTGAAATTGCAGATCTTGCAAAGATATGCAGGATTCCATGCAGTTGAGAAAGTAATATTAGAAAGCTGTGGATTGCCCACAAAACCACAAATAAATGACATTTAACAGCATCAGACCATTTAATGACAGGAGAAAACTGATGAAGTTAATCACATAGTATCACAGTACAGAATGGTGTAACTAATAATACTAGTTCTTGTACGTTGCCCATGGGGTGGAGTGGGGGGAGAAGGACTCTGCGTGCTGTGTGGTTGCTGCTGGTGATGGGCATACCAGTCGTAAGAGCACCAGGCTTCAGTGCGAAGACAGATGTAAAGGGCACTGAGCAGGAGGTCTTGCAGCCCGCGCCCAGCAGAAGTCAGCAGTTGGTGCCGCTGTGAGCGCTGGACATGCCTTCACTGTGTGACCCTCTCACCAGCCTGTTATGCTCATTTTGAGAGGAGGAAACAAGTACAGAAAGGTGGACACTTGGTACAGGATCGCATATTAAGTCAGGGTGTGAACTCACTCTGTTCCTGAACTTGGTTTCAGAGCGGTCTTGGAAAATTTGATGAAGCTCTGCATTGTTTTTGCAAAAACAGCATTTTTCTGAAATTGTTGTAAAAGCTGGTAATTTGATGGGATGGGTGTGTTATACCTTTGAGGATTTGGTTGGCTAAATGGGACCAAAGTGAAGAATCCCAGCACAATGTACTCTGTTCATTCTAAGAATTAGAGCAGTGCCCGCCATGGAGATGTTCTCTGGCTCTCTTGTCCAGCACAGAAGTCACCAGCCTCACTTGTTTTGACTAGGTCTGAGTTTTAATTCAATTAAAATCAATTTTATTAATGTGGCTTCATGGCAGCTCTGTTGGACCCTGTGTTGTTTTGATCACAGTCTGAGGATAGTTGAGTATAAAAGAAGCATGTTTTACAATTTCAGTGTCATTGTTCAAGGTGAAAGCCTCATTCAGAACTTTTCACTAAAGAATGAGAAGTTTCACTTCCATTTTAAATGGACTGCTGAATGGAATCTTTTTCTAACTCTAAAATAAACTTGAATACAGTGGCTACAATGGTTGTTCCTTTAATTAATTTATTTTTTTAGAGATCTAATTGAGTTCACTAAAGGATTTATGAATCCAGCAACGTCCCATCTAGATAGTGCAAGGGCTCACACAAAGTTGGGGTGTTTGCAGACAGAAAGGGCTCGGAGGCTGAAGGGCTCTTTGCATGCTGGGCTCTGCCATTGCCACCCCGCCTCAGTTTGCCTTCCTGTGCAATGATGATTCTGGCGGTCTGACCTTCCGCGGCTCTTCCAGCTCCATCACCCTGACTCTCCTCTTTCCAGGACTTATTCTTGGGGGAGATGGCTGGGGAATTAGAGTCAAAGACAGCAGTTTCCTCCATGTGAGCTGTTCTACCTGTGCCTAGTTTTCTTCTTTCAACTTAGGGAGGGGAAAGATTAATTTGTAGAAAATTCAGTTTATCTTCGATCAGATGGAAGGTAATCCCAAATATTTCCCAGAAGTTGTGTTATAGTTACTGAAAAAAGTAATTTCAAAAGCGATGGTGCCATTGGTTCTAAAAAAATGGCAGTCATGTTTGGGTATTCTAAGAGAATCTTTTTAGGTGTTATCTTTTAGATTGAATATATAATTTTAAACCATTGGGCTTCAAGAGTGAATCATCTTGTGTCTGAATTCAGGCTTCTACGTTGGCTGGAGAAAAATCTCTGCAGGATCTAAGGTTTATATTTGAACTAATAAACTCTGGAAGGATTCTGCCAAATGGCTTGGTTATCCAGGATTTCCTTGGTTGTCACGATTTCCTGGAAAAATCAATAAAAGTGCTTCACCAGTTAATCTATACCCAAGAGCTCAAAGGATTCTAGATTTCATTCTGGATCCTGAAAATCCACTTTAGAACTGAGAGAAGCACTACATTTCTCGATTTCAGACCTTACCTCATTTTCTTAACAAGCTCTTTCGTATTTTTTCATGAAATCTTTTTTCATCTGGGCAAGTTGGAGAGAACCTTTCCTCCTAAGCCCTGTATACCTCTTCCCCCTAAGGAGTAGCTTTTAAAAACTAACAACAGAAAAGTCTACTGTTTTACCTCCCCATGCACCAAACGCTGCAGCTGTTCTTTTGTGCGAGGGAGTGGAAAGGAGGATGTACACTTCAGGTTAAACCTGGGGGACATCAAGGGAAGTGGGACTTGAAATAAAGAATTACTACACTTCTTTTTAACATTCATTTGTCTCTTATTATTAAAGGTAATGCTGAAAGCCATCCCTTCCTTCTTGAGCTGTTTTAACAGATTGGTGTCTTCAGTTATTCATGAAGGACGGCAGAAAGACAAAGGTAATTCAGAGCAGTAGTATCAACTACACAGTTTTAAGTGTGTCTGTCATATCTCTGAGCACAAAACGTTGTTGAAAATTACTACCCGGTTGTGTTTGATTAAGAGAAATACTCAGATAACATTCAAATTACACTCCAATATATACTCAAACAATGGGAAAAAAATTTCCAACTCAACTTTTTTTCCTTTAATATATCCAGAATAGTGACTGCATGTCACACCTAACTGAAATAGAAAAATGTGCCTCGATTTAGGAATTGTTCACCTCCATTAAAAAAGGAATAAAAATGACTAGTCTCATTGCTATCCTTAAGGAGTTTATACTTTAATGGGGGTATTTATTAATGTTTTATTTATTTTGGGAACAGAAAAGGGGGATTTATTGATATATTGCTGAAAGGAGTTTTGGGTGAGACGGGAATATTTAAAAGGAACAGGCAGTTACAGGGTGATCTCATTTTGTAAAAGGGGTAAGTTCCTGGAGCTTGTCTCTTCTTGGCAAGGTCAGATTTGTTTACCAACGAAGCAAACTGCCATATGGCAGTAGCATAAATTAGGTGGGCAGCTATGTTTTTCAATCTTGAAGTTTGTTGATTTTTTTGCTAAATTTCTAATTTGGGGAAGATCTTCATTATTTAAAATTTGCATATAAAATTTGCATATAAAGTGAAACAGAATTGCACCATTTCAAATTTGCAAACCACAGAACAGCCCCATACCATAGCATGTGCTGAACATGAGCACCCGACGGGGGGCTTGGGGTGCACATAGGAAACTTTCATAACCCACAGGGTGCTGGAGAAGACCCCGTGGCAGTTCTATACTGACTAGAAACCTTGAGCAGCTCCCAGCTTCTCCCATGGTGAATCAGTTCAGTAGGCTCAGACCTGTAGATTTGTCACAGCTACTTAACCCAATTAACTTGTGAGAGAAGAGAGAAGGTGTAGTTATCAGTGGAGTGTAATTCTCAGGTTACTCCGCTTGGTTTGGGGATCAGTTGGTGTTGCACCGCGCAGCACATGTGGCACAGTAATACTGCAAATGTGTTTAGGAGCAGGATGGGGAAACAGGCTGCACTCCCATGCTAGCCTTGGCCAGCCAGTGGTGGCTGCCTGTAGCAGTGTGGAGGCCTCTAAAGTCATGTGTGGGCACAGCAAGAAATAATCTCTGCTTGGCTAGTGATGTCTACCTAGCCAGGAGGGCTGGGAATGGAGGGAAGGTCCTCTCAGGCCTGGGGGAGCAGTGATCGGGCAGAGCCCCGGTCTCAGGCTGAGTTGTGTGCAGATGTCAATGTGGCGTCTGTCATGGTTGTGGAGGGCCATGGGGGTGGAGGGATAGACGTTCCTTGTGCTCAGCCCTGTGCTCTGTCTTTGTTTGTGTAGTGCAGTCACCTCCACTGTGCTAAGACTCCGTCCTCTCATGGCTTCATCATGAATTTAGTGTTTTAACTATTTACTCTTTTTGTTGGTATCTAATGCAGCCTTTAACAGCCACTCATATGGCTAGAATAAATGCCAGGCATTCACATTATGAACTGCATGTGTATGTTGAGCAGTCTGAAAAACACAAGAAATGGTTTATATTAGTAGGTGTTAAACTGCCTCACTATATTGTCTCTTGAAATGGTCAGTGGTTGGTAACAGTTGATTTAATAAAATTACATTGATCTGAAAGATTGCTTGTATATAGGAAGTGTACGTTAAAAAAAGACTTTGTATATTCTCAGAGTCAACTTTCTGAAGGTATAACGTGTAGCAAAATAACCAAAGTGTACAATGTAATAGATTTTGCTAGGTATATACATACAGGACATTTGCCTCATGCCCTCTTACAGAGCCTCACTCCTTCTGATCCCAACCGCAGGCAACTACTGATCTGTTTTTTGCCTTAGTAGATTTTCTAGAATTTTAAGGAAATGGATAAATCACTAAGCCGAGAAGTCTCTCTGACATGTGCCGAGTTTCGCACCCAGGCTCTGCTCCAGGTGGAGTGTGGGCTGCAGGGTGTCTTAGGCTATCAGCATTCCCAGCAGGAGAATGGACCTGGGTGGTCCTAGTGCCTTAAAGTGGGAGGAAGTAGGAATGAGAAATCTGGGAAGATAGAGGGTATATAGTAATGATAGCTGAGTTTATCTGTATGTAACAGAAAAATCTTACACAATTTCTGAAACATGAAAACAGGAAAGACAATATAATTGGGCCATCTTATTTTAAAGATCATATGATGGGAGTAAATCATTTTGAAAATCTCCTTTTAAAACCTGGTAGCAGTCCTGAATTTCATCCTACAATTTTGATTATAGTTAGACTCTTTAAAATACTTAGGGATTCTTGTTCTTTTAAGTTCTTTGTACATAAATGTTTGAACATGTTGTCTCTTATTTTGTCTGCAAAATAGTGATTAAAGAGTCTGAAAGAAATGGAAGATTTGAGATAATTTGAGGGCTATCTTTAAAGTATAAAGAAAAGTTACAATGCGTGGTTTTGAAGGAATCCGTTTGGAAACTCTCCCTCCATAGGAAGCCCTGATGACTTGCCAGTGATCCTGGAGTGTGCCCGCCTGGTGGAAAGGATGTACAGCCACATCGCAGCACAGGCTGAAGAGTTCAAGGTCTTCTCCCCCTTCATGGTGGCCCAGTATGTCACAGAGGTGCAGAAGGTAAAGTAAACTGCCTCCCCAGTGCTTTCATTTATAGTCCTTGGTAGCCAGCTCTCAGCACATGTGATGGCGGGGTGTGATTGTGTCGGCTGCTCCTCCACTCTGACGGCGTCCTGCACGAATGCAGGAGTTAGCGTATCCCCGCCGCAGGGTTATTGTGCGCGCTAACCCAAGTCCTAGTCAAAGGGCTGCAGTCCAGGATCTCTCAGCACTCTTGCTGCATTCTAGCATAAGCCTGGGGCTTGTTTGCTTAGTCTGTAGTAGTCTGTCCAAGTCTCGGGACAGGAGCTTTCACAGGACCAGGTTTAATGGAGAACAGAAAGAGGAGTCTTGGGGTTCCTTGGCAACAGGAGTTCATGGATCTATACTCTGGGGGGGTCTGTCATGCACGTGACTCAACTGCTCTCATACATTCAAGATGACACATTTGGGTTCCCTCTCTGGGTTTGCTAATTTAGATTAAATAAAAATACTTTGGCCCAATAACTCTGACTTTTGGACTCAATATTATGGATAATCAGTTCATTGTAGTTAATGGTCTCACTCTAGAATGTCACCGCGATATCTTCAAAATTCCTTCAGACCCAGTGTGAACCACATAGTTAAGTTCATGACTATTTCGTATCTTACTTAGTTTCAACTGAATGTTGAGCTGAAGGTAGAGTGTGTTCTATGTGTATCTCCATGCGTGTATAGACAAGCACTTATACAGTTTGTATTGTTTTATGGAATATAACCATACTGACCTGGTTCACTGTACAAACCTTGTAAAATTAGTGGTAAGTCCACTGGTAAACTTGCCATGTTGTGGATCTCAGGGGAGTGAGGGCAGGATTGGGCTTCCTCAGCAAGCCTGACCACTGTTTCAGGATGGATTGCTAGCCAGTGGCCATCCCTGTCATGTATGGTGAGTAGTTGGCCGTGTGGGGAGCGGGGAGACTGTAGGGGCAGCCTGGCCCCGAGGTGTGCGCTGGATGCTACCCGGTGTCGTGTGCACAAGTGCTGCCCTCTCCTCCCTCCAGTCACCCTTGGAATGAGATGCAGGCTTGAAATGATTTAGTGTTTTTATAGAATCTTGGTATTTCTCGAGTACTCAGTCATTAATTTGTAATCTATTGCTGAAAGAAAAGCTGCCATTATTTTCAGTTTTGCTGAAGAATAAAATGAGACATAGTGTTTTCACCTCACTCTGGGGGTCAAGAAGGAAAGCAGTAATTTGAACCCTTAAGATTACTACTTATTATTCTGAAATTCACTTGGGTTTCCCGGCTTTATTATTTATGTCTAATTTGTGCTCATCAATTTTGTGGTTTTTTTTGACTTATAATCTTGGAAGTCAAAGGTCTTGGAGAGTTATTTAAGGTTGTAGCATCTCAGAATCCATTGGTAGTACATTCTATATTTTATTTTTCATTTGTTTTTAATTTGGCAAGGCAGAAAATATTCCATATGCATTAGAGGCTGCTACTGAGGAAACCATAAATCTTTCTAGGCCAGAAAGACATTTCCAAGTTTAATTAAACACTAGATAGCAAGTATAGCTAAATAAAACTCCTTTGCACATCCTACTATTTCTGTGGCATGGGGGTGTTGGTAAAGGTCTGTTGGGAGTTAGGCCGATGACCTGTGAGATGGTCATTGAGAAGCAGTGACTCCTGCAGACCTTCTCCTGCACAAGCGGTCACCCCAGAGGTGTGTTGGGGGAATGGAAGCTGCTGTTATCTTCCCTTTTATCGGTTGTTCATATCTACAACTGTCCTGCTTTGTTGCTAGCTAGAGTGCTGTAGTCTCTTCCTGTCCAGGCTCCTTGGAAGCTACTTTGAGAGATGTTTTCATTCACTAGCCAGCAATCTCAGTGTTACTGACTTTTCCCCCTTTCTTTGTACATGAGTTCTTGGAACCAAAAGATGTGTGGTTGTGTAGTCTCAATACTGTAGGCCTTCCTGTTATCTGCCAGATCTCTGTGTTCTGCATGTGTTTTCACTGATGAGATATACCAAGGAAGAGATCTTTGATGATTAGGGGCTCCTCCGGACTCAGACACCTAAATTCATAATTCACATCTCAGTTCTGCCATCATGGAAGTTTCTTTACCTCCTCCACCCCCCAGTTTTTATATCACTGTTCATTTTTGTACAATGCTTGATTTCTCCTTTCAGTTGTTGTCCCCACCTAAGACAAAATTACTGCTATCGAGATACCACAAACTGTCACCACAGGCTTTTGTGCTCTTCTCTCCCATTTTGGTCCCTCTCCTTCCCCCAAGTTTGTCCGATTTATAGTTTGCCTGCTAGTTTTGTTTTTACCCATGTTCCTCCTATAAGTGAAACCATTTGATATTTTTCATTTTCCTCTGACTCATTGCACTGAACAGAATTCCTCCAGCTCCATCCATTTGTTGCTGCGAATGGCACGGGTTTATATTTTTTGATTGCTGCGTAGTATTCCATTGTGTATATACATCTTCTTGATTCAGCCTTCTGTTTTGGAGGTATTTAGGTTGTTTCCATATTTTAGCTATTGTAAACAGTGGTGTAATGAACATAGGAGACTTTGCTTTTTTTTTTGACTGAGTAGAATTATTTGTTTGGTGAATGATGAATGAAAATGAATGAGCAATCAACTTTGAAAGTCCTCACCCTGCTAGTAAAATTGAGAACTTTTTTGTGTTTTTTTCTTTCTTTTGTGTATTTCTTCTTTCCCTATCTAATGCCCTAACTGACATCACAGACAAACTATTCTGCCTTTGATCCTTGAATGTTTTTAACATCTCTGAAACAGTAAAATTTAAGATGTTCATCTGTCAAAAAAGTTTTTGAATTTGTGAAAATGGCCATAAATTTGAAGCATAGCATTATCTTAATGACAGAAGCAAATGGCGTCTTTAGGAATCTACCTCTCACTTGCTTGGTGAATCAAACTTTTCCTAGTTTCATAAAATGTTCTCACTGGAAGCCATGTAATTTGCAGAGAGGCATTAAGTCCTCCACGTCATCAGGACAATAAGAAAGAATCAGCCAAATCTGAGACCTGTCAACGAAGCTACTTAGTGCTTTTTGGTTTTAGCTCTTGGGGTGCTCAGATTCTGCTCAGCACCAGGTTCAGCTGAGCCTTGAGTAGCTGTGGCAGAATGTGAGTAGAGCTTGCCTTTTGGCTTTTTAGGCATTGTTTGAATCTCTGATCTGAAAGTTTGTGTGCAGTATCATCTGACACAGTCAAGTTGGAGCTGGGCCGCCCACTCCTCCGGTGCCCCAGATTGTGTCTAGCCAGAATTTCAGGGAAGATTTGCTTTTTAGGTGCAGAGTACTAGCCAGCCATTCTGTGCCAGCTAAGAGTTTAGGTCCTTTGTGCCACAGTTGCCAGAAATAAAAAATATTGCCTGATGTGGTAAGCATAAATGACATCTGATTTTGATTACTGTGGTGAGCCCTGGTTACTCTAATAAAGGCCTAGAAGGATCTGTTTGGAGAGGATTAGAGCAGCCCACCTTTCACTGGGGTGGGGAGTGGGTCGGAGGGGGCGAGGTAAGGTTGGTTAAGTAGTAAACTTTGCTGTCATGGGGAGTATAGATTCTAGCCTGATTGACCATGTGGAAAAATTTGACAGAACTTGTGCAGGTACTTGTTGCAGGATTTTCAAATTTAAAGATTCCAGTTTTAAAATACTCCAGAAACACCTAACTATCATTTATTGAATGGCAGAGCTGCCGCTGTGATTTTGTCATGTTTACATCCAGTTTTTTTTATTTGACTTCTATTTCTCCAAAATATAAATCGTTAAATAGGAATATTCAACTATTTATGTGTGAAACGATGTTTTAAAAAGTATGTCTTTTCAGGGAAATTCACTGGACTATGGTGATGGCACATGGGTGATTTGGTGATGGGAAGCCCATCACCAAGGGGATAACGTATATGGAAAAATGCACAAAATGATGTAAAAAGAAATTATTATATACCAAAAAAAAAAAAAAAAAGGGATGTCTTTTCTCCAGTTGGCGGCAGAGGTGAAATTCCTAGCCCGCTCTTGGAGGGTGTGGTGACTGCCTGTTTGCTCTCACAGAGCAGTGTCTTCCTTTCCCAGGTCACCTTGTACCCGGCGGTGAAGGGCCTTCTGCAGGAAGGCATTTACCTCATCCTGGACCTCTGCATTGAGCCAGATGTCCAATTCCTACGGGTGTCACTGCAGCCAGGGCTGAGAGATGCCTTTAAGGAGTTGCATAATGACTATACGAAGTACCACAAGGCGAAGCATGAAGGCGAGAGAAGATACACAGCCTAGAGCTGTGTCCAGCAGCGTGGCATGGTGGTGCGGTCTCGGCCCTGCAAGGTGGAGAAGGACTGTGCTCTCACATCTCGTGGCTTGCACTGTTGAAATTTGTGGAAAACGCCGTTGGATTTATATGTTTATATTTTACAGTACATCTTTTTGTACACTCAGTACTGTAACAGACTCCTGAAAATGGACCCTGGAGGGAGGTGCAGTCAGTAAAGTTTGCTGCCTCTCTGCTGGCCGTCCCGGATGTGCGCGCCGCTCCCTCCATGCTACGGCCCTCTGCCCACTGGGTGGTGTGCAGAACTTGTTTTTTTACTTTAGGTAACTGGTGATGTGACTCAGTTACATTTAAGTAGCTTTGTTTTAACTTTCTTCAAATACTCTGGGAAGTATTCGTACACTGCCACTTTTTCTGCCTTCCCTCTGAGTGTGTTTCCCAGTGGCTTCCAGTACAGCTTTGTGACTGTTAGCCGAGGGTCCCTGCGCCAGGTGGGGAGGCGGGTCCCGGCAGGCGGGAAGGCTGCTCAGAGCAGGGCTGCGCTCTGTCTCTCCCGTTTGCTCCTCCTGCTTCCACTCAGTGAAGTTTTTTTTGGAATTTTTTTCCTTCTATACAGAGTGAAAATAATTAAAAAAAATTTTTTTTATTACTGACACAGTATGTTTCATTGTAGTAACGTCTGAAAATAAACTAAAAGGGAAGAAATTTAAAACTGTTTAGAAAGTGGCTGTCACCTCCTTGGGTACCTTGTTTTCATGCCTTTGTGTTTGTGCATATGTGTAAATATATAGTTGTGTATAAAATATAAAGTTGCCAAATTGGATCATAAATGTTTTTTTCTTTTTTTTGGTTTTAGTTGCCTAATTTCTTTTCCTGTTCGATATTCCAGAAACATCTTTTTCATAAAGACATTTACCTTTTTACTTTAAAAAAAGATTTACCATATTTCTTTATGCATACAAAAGGTGGTGTGTAGGCCAGAGGTGGGGGAGGTGAGAGGATTCACCAGAGAGAGTGGGGAGAAGAGGTGAGTCTGCTGAAACACACTGCTGAGGGGAGCAGCAGGTGAGACAGGAGAGGTCTGCTGTGCTGTGTGGGTCAGCTCCCTGGCCGAGGATCCAACTCATGCTGCAGTGGCTGCGGATAGCTTCATAGTGCTGACACTTAACCCCTTGTGCCACCAGGGAGGGCCCTTTACCATCTTTTTAAAAGGTTGCTTAGTAGTCCATGGGGCTGATACAGCTCTTTATTTAATAAATCCCCCATGCTTAGTCTTTCCAAACTTCCTTTTACAGTTGGTGCTTCTAGCTAAATCATCCGTTCTCTCTTCAGTTGTTTCCATACAAATGCCTGTAGGTTGTATTGCTTGTCAAGGAATCTTACAGTTTTTAAGGGTTCATATAAATAGTACCAAATTGCCTTGCAGACAGTGCACTAGTTCATTTTCCCATTAGTGAATCAATTTAACAATATTGATTTTCTTTTTTTTAATGCATCCTTAGTAGAGGAATGTTACTTTCCTTTGATTTTTTTAATTACCAAACAACTATACATTTTTAGTATTTACTATTTCTGTAAATTACATTTATATAATTGTTCCTTATTTAACATTAGTCTCTCAGTTGGGATATTTCCCTTTTTTTTTTACTATGTTTATGAATTCATATTGGAATTCTAAGTGCTTTTTTCTTAAAATTTATTCAAAAAATTTTTTAAAATATAGAAGACCTGGGGTGGGTAAATGCCAGAGTGTGGGGGTGAGAGGGAGAATTAACCAGACACAGAGCAGGGAGCATAATAGGTGGATCTACTGAAATACACTGCTGGGGGAGCAGTGGGAGAGACAGGAGTCTGCTGCTCCTTGTGGGTCAGCTACTTGGCTGGGGATCAAACACTTGCCGCAGTGGTTGGCGATAGCTTGATAGTGCTGGGATGTTAACTCCTATGGCATCAGGGAGGGTCAGGGCCCCTTAATAAAAATGGACAAATTATTGGAAGGATTGTCCCTAAGAAATGGGCTTTTTTTTTTAAACTACATTTATTTTAAGCACAAGTGATTGGAACAGATTATAGCATGGATCTTGGTACCTCAGAAATTTTTCATGCCTCAAATTTGATTTTATTTCTTGCATTTGCTTACTGAGTCTGGGAGGTAGTTCTGCTTTGCATGCTACATGTTTATCCTTTTCCTCCTCTGCATAGATTGTGTAAAGGCAGTCAAAACTCTAGTACCCAGAGATGGATTGGGCACCCCCAGTCTGGCATCCTTTTGCCTAGTCCTTCTATTGGTGGAACTGTCTCTGTTCTAAGTTCCCTGCAGGAACCTTTCAGAGAGGCAGAGGACATTATTGCTTGTTCACACCTGGTGTGTTGGAGCAAGCAGGTGACCTTTCAAGGACACAGGCTCTGAACAGAGCTGTCATTAAAACCACATTTTTGCTTCTCTCCTTTTCTTCAAATGTCAAGAAAGGAGGGTTATTGGTTTCAGAGACCCTCATACAGTCATGCCTGTTCTTTCTCTGCTAGAAGTTCATGAAGGTACGAGGTTAGCAATCATTCCCTTTTTCCTGCTTTTAGAATGTTCCTGGGGTGGACAATGTGGGGCGATTCCTTAGGTCTCCTGATGGTGGCAGTGCAAGGCTACAGCTAAAGCTTTGGAAAGGGGCCCAGGGAGGTGTCTGTTATGATGAGCTCACCTCCTTGGGAGAAAGGAAATGAAGAAAAGAAGACTGTCAACTCCATGTCCTTCTGCACCTTCAAATATTCTGTCTCTGCAGTATTTCCATTCCTGAGAAAAGCTGCCCTGATTTCCTCACAGTCATTTCTATGTGAACGCTAAACCTTCCTCAGGAAAGAACAGTTTTGAACTCTCTTGCAGATTAACAGGGAAGAAGAAACATTTTTCTAGTGGCAGTGATGGAAAATATGTTGTCTTCATTTTCATGATCTCAGGAACCTCACAAAGAGGGTGATCCAGGCCAGCAATCTGCATGGCAGAGTCCCCAGGGGGACTTGAGGCTGTCAGTGAAAGTCCAGGCTTGGTGAAGCCCCTGTCAGAACAAGCCCCTTCATGCTGTGGCACCAAGCCCCTGTCCCCTGAAGGCCTGTGCTGTTCATATCCCACAACAGACATTGATTTCCTCTCTCCTGTGCCAGCTGTTGGGGCTACCCTCCTGTCCTCATGGAGCTCGCTTTTTGGCAGGGCATGCTGTTAAAGGTCTAGCAATCAAATACGCATGATATTCCAGAGAGACACAAAAGAAGAGCAGGGTCTGGGATACGCCTTGTGCTGGGGAGGTGACATTGAGCTGAGACCTGCCTGAAATAAGAGCAGCTCCTCCAAAGAGAGAGGCTTTTGGGAAGACTGTTCTGAATTCACTTGTCTGGTTTGGCTGAGAGTGGTCACCGGAAGGGAAGGGCAGAAGGGAGGACATTGGAAGGAGAAAGACTGATGTGGGGGTTCTGTCTGGGATGGTACTTTGGAGGGGCTGCCATGAAAGGAACTGGGTGATCATATATCAAGTGGCCACAGATAGAACACAGCAGACAGTTACATTTTAAACCTTGCCCTTAAGTTCCCATACATGGGCTACAACAGCCGGGTCTTTTCTCTATAGGACTTGCCACATCACCTCACCTCCTCTCTTGTCTCACCCTCCCAGTGTTGCTTCATGAAAACTTTGCCCGAAGAAAAGGCCTGTCAAGGAGGGTCTGTATGTACTTGGAAGGGATCCAGGTTGAAAGTGTTCATTTTTGCCCGGTTTCTCATTTTCAGCTTCAGAACAATTCACTGAGATTACTTTGATTTGTTGCCAGCGTGCCAGGCTACAGCCCTGTCTCTTTGTCTAATAAGCGCACACCTTATGCCTGAAGCCTCATGAAATCCACTGTGGCGGAAGTGGTTGTATCATTTTTGATTCTTCATTCCCTCGTGTGTCTTCCTTTCTCTTTGTCATTTCTCGTTCCTTTTTTTTTTTTTTAAAGATTTATTTATTCATATGGAACTGGGGTACAGGCCAGAGATGTGGATGGTGAGAGGCTTCACCAGAGACAGAGTGGGGAGCAGAACAGGCAGATCGATGAAGTACACTGCTGAGGGGAGCAGCGGGCGGGTCAGGAGAGGTCTGTCGCACCATGTGGATCTCCTCCGGGGCAGGTGGGGATCGAACTCATGCGGAAGTGGCTTTAGCTTCTTAGTGCTGTGCTTCAACCCGCTGCGCCATCAAGGAGGGCCTCACGTTCCTTTTTAAAGAGCTCAAATACCTTCCCAGCTCTTCCCTTTCCTCCTCAACTTGCACTGTAGGTAACAGTTTTCTTTGTCATGGGTGTTACTTGTCTAACTCTGAGCTGCCGAGCCAGAGGCATCTCTAATATGCTGGGTCTTTGTGGACACGCTGTCATCCCTCAGCAGCTTCTGTTCCCACATTCTCTCACAGGACCTTGCTTCTGGCCCTCTCCTTGCTGGTGACTGGCTCTGCACCCAGTCTCGTCTGTTTGCCTCTGGCCTTTTGTGTAGCCTCAACATCCACACGGAGGGTCCGTTGGACACCCTGCCCCATGTTTCCAGGCGTCTCCCCTTCTGCTCTCTGTCCCTGACATCTGACCTCCCACTTGAGTCTCCACTGGGCTCTTGGCTCCCCACGCCACAGCAGCGAGCATCCTGTACCGCTTGCTCCCAGTGGGTCTGCTTTGTTGTCTCTCCACCAGCCTGCTGCCTGTGGCCTCCGTGTCCTGCTCTCACTAGTGTCCCAGCATCCATAACATCTCTCTGTTCACTCTTGTCACTTTCCTAACACTGCAGAAGCCCGGATGATCCTGCTTCCTCCCCCACCCCTGGGGACCATATCTGTTGTGAAAGGAAGCAATAAAATGGCGAGGATTCTCCATAAAATCCCATTCTCTCTACTCAGCTGGATCCACTTTTTCATCATTATCAGAAAAGACCTACCCATGAGGCAGTGTAGCGTCAAGATGTCGTCAGTCGGTGGTGACTGGATTATAGTATGGTTTTAGTATGAAGAGGCTGGTTGCCAAACACAAATGTTATGGTTGAAAGAAATATTCACTCTCCATTTTAGGCTAATTTCTTCAAAGAGCATTAATAAGGCAGTGGTGATGGGATATCAAGATTGAGAAACATAAAAGTGACAAAATACACTAAATAGTAATACATTTGGTAAGGGACAACCAAATGTTGGGGGCCTGGGGAGTGGGGTGTAAGCTGTTCATAATGAGCACCACGGATAGGCATGGGAGAGGGCTTGCGTTAGGAGGACGGGGACCCTGGCTGAGCAGGAAAGGACACCAGCCTGCCTTAGGCAGCAGAACGAGGCACCCTGGTGTCTGGGATGACAAATACATTCAGAAGACAGGACCACAGGCCCTCCTAGGGACGCTGGCCAGATGCCACGGTGGTGCTGAGCCACACAGATGCAAGTGTGGACACGCGTGCTGCTTTCCTGGGGTCGCTCCAGACAGGTGACTGACCTTGCACTGTGCAATGGGCGGCCGTGGCCTTCATATCTGGTCTTCTCCAGGCATGTGCCATGTTCTCTCGGCATCTTTGAGCTTTTAGCCACACCCCTTCAGTCTGGAATCTCTTACTTTTCTGTAAATACTTGCATCTTCTGCTATTTTCCCAAATCACCACCAGCTCCTTTTCACTGCCAGCCACATAAAAGGCCGCCGACCTGCATTTGTTCACACTCACCACGCTTTCATCTGCGCTAGCTTCCTGTTGACCCGCCCTCTGCAATATAGTGGGGACAGCTGCGCACCATCAGGGCTGTGTGGCCATCCTTGATCTCATCTCCAGCAACTCGGG